CTGGAAGGGGACTAGGAAAGAGACATGAGGACAAAATATCACCCGTGGATCCAGCAGAACAGGTTACCCGGTGGGGAAGAGACCGGAGAGGACTGGAAAATTTATCCTAGGGGCCACTGAAGTGCGGCCACCTCCACTGTCCATTACTTGGTTATCAGATGACCCTGTGTGGGTAGAACAGTGGCCCCTAACTAAGGACAAATTACAGGCCGCTTCCCTATTAGTTCAAGACCAGCTTGAGTTAGGACACGTGGTGCCCTCTACCTCCCCTTGGAATACCCATATTTTTGTTATACAAAAGGGGTCTGGGAAGTGGAGACTTCTTCAGGACCTACGAGCTATTAATAAAACTATGCAACCCATGGGACCCTTACAACCAGGGCTACCCTTTCCTACTGCGATCCCAAAGGATTGGCATCTTATTGTCATAGATTTAAAAGATTGTTTCTTCTCTATCCCCTTAGACCCACGAGACCAAAAGCATTTCGCTTTCTCCTTGCCTTCAACAAACTTTAGGGAACCTTACCAACGGTATGAATGGACCGTCCTACCTCAAGGGATGACTAATAGTCCTACAATGTGCCAATATTTTGTAGCTGAGGTTTTACGACCCTTTCGACAGCAGTTCCCACAGCTCTACCTCATTCATTATATGGATGACATCTTACTGGCAGGGCCCAAGAAAGAAAGGCTTCTTCAATCTTATGAAGTCCTCCAATCCCTTCTAAAAGGGGCAGGGCTGGTCACAGCACCCGAAAAGGTGCAATTTCAACACCCTTACAATTATTTGGGATACATCATTAATAACATAGGAATCTTTCCCCAGAGACCCCAGTTCCAGATAAATCAGCTCAAAACTTTACATCAGTGGCAGACATTCCTCGGAGAAATACAGTGGCTGCGCCCATCCTTTCATATTCCAACTGGAGAGCTCAAACCCCTGTATGACCTCTTGCGAGGAGATCCTTCTCCTACGTCGTATAGAGTACCTACACCAGAAGCCTTACGAGCACTGAGGCTAATAGAAGAGGCTCTGCAGGACATGCAGATTACGCAGATAGATTATTCTCTGCCCTTGTCATTTATAGTTCTACCTTCTAAAATTACTCCCACAGGAGTGTTCTGGCAAACGGGTCCCATTTATTGGGTCCACTTGCCGGCTTCTAACCCCCGGGTACTGACTCCCTTTTATGAGCTAGTTATTAACTTAATTTGGAAGGCTAAATATTTGGGTGATGCATTGTTTGGAAAAACCTTTGACATACTTATTCAACCTTACACTCAAGATATGATACACAAGTTACAACAAGAACATGACCTTTGGTGTCTTTTCCTGTGCAGCTTCAAGGGTCAGATTGATAATCACTTCCCTAAACATAGACTTTTGGAGGGCTTTAAAAGGTGTCCCATTATCTTCCCAAAGATTATGAAAAGGGAACCTATTCCAAAGGCCCAAACTGTATATACAGATGGGGCCAAAAATGGATTTGCCATCGTTTTTGATGGATCTCAAATTCTCCGACAACCTGTGTCAGGTCAGTCGGCCCAAAAGGCAGAAGTTGAAGCTTTAATCATAGCTCTCAAAGTCTATAGTTCTATTCCTCTTAATGTATATACTGACAGCTTGTATGTAGCCAATCTGGCTCTAGTCATAGAAACAGCATCATATATTGGAAAGCAATCCACCATCACAGAACAACTACAGGTAGTTCAGCTTCTCATTTGGGCTAGACGAGATCCTTTATACATTGGCCACATCCGAAGCCATTCAGGGCTCCCTGGACCTTTGTCAGAGGGCAACGCAAAAGCAGACGCTGCTACTCATGCTGTTGGCCTTTCCTGTGTGACGACCGAATATGATAAGGCCTCACAATTCCATAACAAATTTCATTTAAATGCACAGTCTTTACGCTTCCACACAGGATGTTCACGAGACCAAGCTTTACAGATTGTCTCATTATGTCCAACCTGTGCACCATTTATTCATTCTCCTTCCCTTGGAGTAAATCCAAGAGGACTACAACCTAATGATGTCTGGCAAACTGATGTTACACACTTCCTTAGCTTTGGTAAGCTCTCCTTTATACATGTTTCCACTGACACATATTCTGGCTTCATTTTTGCCACCTTACATACTGGAGAAAAGGATAAGGACGTAATCAGTCATCTTCTAAAAGCCTTTTCCTCCATGGGCACCCCACGATGCCTCAAAACCGATAATGGTCCCGCATATGTAAGCCAGGCGGTTCAACGGTTTTGCACCCAATGGGAAATTAATCATAAGACTGGAATCCCTTATAATCCACAGGGACAAGCTATCGTAGAACGAGCCCATCAACATTTAAAAACTTATTTACAAAAAACAAAAGAGGGGGAGATATACCGGAATTGTCAGGGACCACAAGCACTTCTAAGCATAACCTTATTTACTTTAAATTTTTTACTCACTGACACTGGAGGGCGCACGGCTGCACAATGCCACTTTTCCCCTCCCACTGTACAAGATGCTCAAATAAGGTGGAAAGATTTATCCACCAGAAAGTGGCAACCCCCGGCTCCACTCTTAGCTAGAGTGAGGGGAGCTGTATGTGTTTTTCCCCCAGGAACTGAGAAGCCCATTTGGATCCCGGAGCACTGCACCAAACCGGTGAATGAAAATTCAAGACAAAATGAAGTTCCCAAGATGGCTGATCCTGCCGCTGTTGTTCTCACCCCTTCAAGTGAGTGCCGAGACACACCTCATGAGCTGGACCCCGCTTGTGGCATTCCTTCTGGACAGGTTTGCTGAAGGAGGGCTTGATCCCCCACCTGGGAATATTCATGAATATCTTTTTGGAGCCCCTTGTGAGTGTAAGGGAGGGCCCCGGCACTCGGCCCCCTCTGGTTATATCCAGAGCATTGATTGTGGGACTAAAGTAGCCTACATGGCGGCTGAACTCAATGAAAACATCGGAGGATTTAAGCAACCAAAATGGGTATGTGTTAATAAGCCTGGACTTGTTGTCCCTAATCCGACCGAGACTCTTGGAAGCTGTTCCGCCACTTGTCATTACACCCCGGCAATGCACATTTCCTGTTATACATCGGCCTCAATTTGTGTTAATAATCAAGGAAAACAGTATTTTGAGGCCATCCTAACTAACACCCGTGGAGAATGGGGGACCACTTATAATTATATTCCTTTTCTTGGTGACCGGGGAGGGGAAGGCATCACGACTCGGTTAACGGAGGCGGGATGTGAGGGCATCGTGGGTAAACCTTCCTGCTGGCCCATGCAGGCCCCCATCGGAGTCTCTGATGGAGGGGGACCCACTGATGCTATCAAACACCTTCAGGTGATTAAGCTTTTAAAGCCGGAGATCCCTAAGCCTACATGCCACCCCTTGATATTGCCCAAATCCCAGTTTGCTGATTTAGATGCCAATACATTAGATATCCTAGAAACTACCTTTTCTTTACTTAACAGTTCCAACCCTACCCTTGCTGGTGATTGCTGGCTCTGCATGACGGCAGGTGCAGTCATGCCATTGGCGGTTCCCATCAATTATACCATTGATGATGACAACACATGTCAATCTGGGCTACCCTTTAAGGTGCAGCCTCTAGGTGGTTTTATGTCATGCCTTCTGGGCATGATGCAAAATAATACCTATGATGTTGATGTTGGAATCTCTTCCTTTGGAAACTGCTCATTAGTAAAGAATTACTCCTCACCTACTCCGCCCATTTGTCCCCCTAATGGTACAGTCTTTATGTGTGATGGAAATTTAGCTTTTCCCAGGCTCCCAGCAAATTGGACTGGTGGTTGCGTTCTGGCATTATTGCTTCCTGATATCACGATTATCTCAGGAGATGAACCCCTACCCATTCCTAGCCTAGACATCTTAGTTAGAAGACACAAGAGAGCTATGCAGGCCTTACCACTCTTTGTTGGCCTTGGAATAACAGCTGCTGTGGGTACAGGCACGGCAGGATTGGGTACGGCTATACATTCTTACCGCCGCCTATCTCAACAGCTTATAGATGATGTGCAAACCCTATCGGGAACCATTAAAGACTTACAAGACCAGATAGACTCTCTAGCAGAAGTAGTTCTTCAGAACAGGCGGGGTTTAGACTTGCTTACTGCCAATCAAGGGGGAATTTGTTTAGCCCTTGGGGAGAGGTGCTGTTTTTATGCTAACAAATCTGGCATAGTTCGCACAAAAATTAAACAACTCCAAGAAGACCTAGAAAAAAGGAGGAGGGAATTATTTGAGAACCCTCTCTGGACTGGACTTAATGGATTTTTGCCTTATCTTCTTCCCTTATTGGGACCATTGTTAGGCCTCCTTCTAGTAGTGGCAATAGGACCCTGCATTGTAAATAAGATAGTACAATTCATTAAGGATCAAATTAATATCTTAGCCTCTAAGCCGATACAGGTTCACTATCAATGCTTGAAGATGGATGATCGCCTCTCTGAGATATACTTCAGACCGATCCGAAGATGAGTGTCCTCCTTAAAAGAAGAACTCCTGCCATATCTTTTCTCTATGCATACCTCTCCCTCTTGCCTTCCTGTATTAGGATCTTTGCTGTCTAATCTCTCGGTCCAATCACATCTGCCATTCGGCGGTGACGGTCATGGGTCCCGTAGGTGGAGACGGTTAAGTGTTTACCGCAATAATGTCTTGATAGGTCATAACACCTTGAGCTGATCTTGTAGTACCCAGTGACGGGCAACTTTCACGCTTGCTGCGCGACCTAAGACAGGGAATCGGGGCCTTCCCAGAGACGGGTAAGCATCGCAAGGGCTGTGAACGACCTAAGACAGGGGCTACTTGATTCCCACTGGCATGCAAAAAACAAAAGAGGGGGACTTGTTAGCAGCAGGTCCACCCTGGCCCCTGGAGCCTTACCTCCACTAGTTTGTTCTGCATGCCAGTGTGGCCAGCTCACAAGGCCATAGCGAACTTGCGGTTTTTCTGTTCCTGCTTGTCCGTCTGAGACATATGTATCCCACGGGAATGCCTTGACCTTTTCTGGTCTGATGGACTTATTGTTAAGGGAGGTTTCGGTACCTGACAATAATAGATGTTGAAACTAAATTTCTCCCCCCTCCCTCCTGCTTTTGGGTAGTTTTCCACTTCTGCTGCTTGGGGTATAAAAAAAGGTGTGTTAGCAATAAAGATTATTGACTCCTGGATGAAGAACCTTGGTGTCCTGTGTGTCTTTTAACCTCGCCGTCCCTCGCCGGACTCGGCTCCCTTGGCCGGACGCGGCATAAACTAAGTCAAAAATAAGAAAGGATAAAAATTTCACCAATAATCAAAGAAATAATAAAACAACACATTCCATTTATTCTCAACACATGGGTAAAGTATAGAAATATCAACAATATCACATTATTGTCAAGGAGGTGGGAAAGAGGGCACTGTCACTCACTGTAGTGAGTATAAATTGGAACACCTTTTAGAAGTAGTTTGGAACTACCTACAAAATTTCAAGAATTCCGCTGATCCAGAATTTCTACTTTTAGACATTCAATCTTTAGAGATTCAAAAGTATATTATGCTCACTCCCCACCCCAGATTCAATGCATGATCACATGCATATTTTCTAGTGGAAACAATCTAAATGATTGTTAAAAGGAGAATGATTACAAAATTCTGTTACATCTACACTTTCCCTATATAGCTATTTTGAGGATACCATAGATTCATATGGACTAATCTAGAAAATTCAATAATAAAGTGCTTAAAAAGCTAATTGCAGGGTAATACACAGAGTATGACTTTATTTTTAAAAAGTAAAATCTCAAAACCAATTGTGTGTGTGTGTGTTTTCAAGGATGCACATAAAATGAAAGAGTCAAACCATACAGAACAACATGACAGTGGCCATGGAAAGTAGAATGGGTTTTTAGGGAAAGATGGTAGGAGGGAAAAATATAAGAGAAAATGTTTTCTACTTACTTTATATACTTATGTATATAATATATTTTGTACCTTTCTCTCTTTTCTTTTTTTTTCACTGAAAGAACTTACCTATTTACAAAAAGTGTTACTATTTTATTAGAATTATTTTGGAAGACAAAAATGAAATATTTCTTCTTGTGAAAATTTTCCTAGAGTCAGAAAACTTATAAAACTAAAATTGAAATGAAGTAAAACCCTACAAGCAAGAGACATAATATTGAAAATTAAAAAAAAACAAAATAAAAAATAAACTTCTTTAAATTTTGAAAAGAGGCATTTGAAAAGGCATACACATATTAAGATCATCATTGGTAACATTCTGTAAATTATCTTTTTAAAAATGAATTTTCTCATTATTAGAGATGCTTCAGAAATAGTTTTGATGAAGTTGATGCTTTATTCACACCAATAATCAAATAACTTTATTAAGCATAAACTTGTTGCTGGATTCCATCTTTCAGAAATCTAATTTTGAGGGTTTGTGTAAGATGCTTTATGATGGATGTGCCGTACTGCTTTGTCTCACTCTTTCTCATGGATATTTAGGATAGTTCCAATTTTCTCCCATTGTTAATAACATTGAGCTAGATAGATGGCCTTGTTTGTAAAATCTTTGGTTGTGGCTTTAATTCCCCCTGAGGATAAATTTCAAGAAGTGGAATTACACACTTTAGATAAACCCATTTTCTTTCATGACTTGCTTCATATTACTGAATTTGTTGTACATTGAGGCCCTTACAAACAGTCTGTGAAAGAACCCATTCCTCCCAGGTATTATTGCTCTAAATTCATTTGTCAATTTCATAGCAATTTTGGCATATGGACCAGCACATTCTCTCCATCCCCAGGAGCAGGCTGTGGTCCCAGTTCAACACCACCCAGACCCCTCACTGCTGCTGCCCCATCTATGTCTTCTGTCTCTGTACTTAGACTCAAATCTGGCCTCACACCAGCCTCCAAACCCTTTCATTTTTTCCAAAACACAAATTTGACACTGACATTATTCTACTTAAATCCTCCAAAGACTGCATCTGGACTGCAGAACCAATCCGGGATACCAGACCTAGGTGTTCTACCTACTTTGGCCCAACAGCTTCCTGTGTCCCTGGGTGCCCACCCACCTCCCCTCTCCATGGAACACTGGTACCTCTGCTTATCTACCTCATCACTAGCTAGCACCCATTAATCTCTGAGACCAGCTTGGGCATCAACCCATAGAGGAAGCACCCCTTCTCTAGATCTATTACTCCTAGAAAGGATCAAGAGTCTGTCCCCCATGACTAGATATGTCCCTTGGCTCAGGCCAGCTCTGTTTTCTCCAGGCCTGGTACCCAGGAAATGTTTATGAAAAAGATAGTAAGTGAATATCTTTGGGGGAGAACAAGCCAAACCCTCACTTCATTATCAGAGGAGGGCTTTGCAGAACACTCCTTCTCTTAGACCATCATAGGACAGAGCTGGGGATGTAGCTCAGTGGTAGAGAGGGGCTTCTCATGGGCCAAACACTGGGTTCCCACCCCAGCACTTACCTTTGTGTCACAAAATGCAAGACATGATCATACATCTACATGTCTGGGGCAGAGGCAACCTCAGGATGCAGCCCTGGTTGAGGATCCTTGGCTGAGAGTTTGATGACGGGATCCCTGCTTCCCATCTTCAGTAGCTCAGCCAAACCATAAGGATGCTGACATAACAGCACAACCAAGAGAAAAGGGGGAGAAGGAGAAGTGTAAAGCCTGAACCCTGTGCAAATGGAAGACACTACCAATGGACTAAGGGGAGTGAGGGAGTCACTCTCCTTGGGGCAAAAAGCTGGAGGAACCGAGATAAGTAATACTTCAATACAATGTTGACAATTAATTCAAACAAACCCACAAAGGATTAAAAAAATCAGTACTTCAGGCCAGTCTCTCAGGCTGACCCTTCTTTCTCATCCCTTTTGCCGCCTCTGCTGCCCTCTTTCTCTACCAACCATTCCCAGCTTCAGCTGAGACTCCCACATCCCTACAAGACTTCTTACCTGCTCCAAAGGCTCTTCAGGTTGGACAGACTGCTTCATGGTCAGGCTCCTGTGCCTAAAGTCCACTCCCAGTTGAGGCCTCTACCATGGGAATCTACTGCCAAGTCTAGCAGCAGCAGGATGGTCCAGTAGCCTGTGACCTACGCTGGGCTTAATCTGCTTTCAGGGTCAGAGGCACCTCTATGGCATGGGGTCCACAGAGGGAATAACACTGATTCTCTTGATGCCAGTGGCTGCTCCAGTATACACAGGTCCATGTGGTACTTGGCCTACTTTTTCTTATCTTAGGTGCAGGGTCTCTGTTCTACTGTCTTGATCCACTTTGAGTTAGTTTTTTTGAAGGGTGAGAGATAGAGTTTTAATTTCATTTGCTACATATGAATTTCCAGTTTTCCCAGTATCATTTGGTGAAGAGGCTATCTTTTTTATAATCTATGTTTTTGGTGCCTTAGTCTAATATGAGATAGTCATATTTATGTGGTGTTTTCTATTTTGTACCATTGTCTACATGTGTAATTTGGTATTATTACCATGCTATCTTTGTTACTATGGCTCTGTAGTAAAGTTTAAGGTCTGGTATTGTGATGCCTCCTGATTCACTCTTCTTGTAGAGGATTGCTTTGACTATTCTTGGCCTCTTATTTTTCCAAATGAAGTTTGTGGTTTCTTTTTCTATTGTGAATGGAATAGTTTTCCTACTTTTTCTTGCAGTGGATTCATCACTTATTTATAGAAATGCATTTGATTTATGGGGTAGTGATTTTATCTCCTCCTACTTTGTTGAATTCATTTATTAGTTCTAGTAGGTTTCTGGGGGGATTTTTTGGATCTTCTACATATAGAAGCATATTGCCAGCAAAATAGTCATAGTTTGAGTTCTTTTTTCCCTATGTGTATCCCTTTAATTTCTTTCATCTGATTGCTCTGAGCTTTAAGGATTATGTTGGATAGAAGTGGTGGAAGAGGACATCCCTGTCTTGTTCCAGTTTTTAGAGGAAATGCTTCCAGTTTTTCTCAGTTAGAATAACGTTTGCATTGGGCTTAGCATAGATAGCCTTTACAATGTGGAGTTATTTCATATTTTGTTAGTTTGGACCTCATCATGGGCATCTTCAATCATGTGTTCTTGTGGCATGAGATGACAGAGTCAGATGATAAGCAAAAGAACCAATTCATCAGCAGGAGTCATGGAAGAAAAGATGAATTCAAATGACTGAATTAAATAATACTAAATAGAAAATAATTTTGTTTTCAAATTTCAAATATGGGGGATGTAATCTTGAAATTCTCCCACCCTGAAAATCTCTCCCCTATTACATGATAATACTTTGAATATATTTCATTCTGAATCTAAAAGAAGTTTTAAATTTTTCTATCTACATATGTCTGGAGATTCATAAAGGGTGGGAAATGTGGAGGGATGGCATTTCAAACCAGGAAGGGAACCTCTTGATTCTCAAAATTGTAGCTATGCCTCCTTTCACAATAGATTATTATAATCAATTAAATTATTTGGGGAGAATAATATTTTTTTGGATTTAACTTATTTTCATAAACAGAATATTAATATGTGGGCCTAGGTTTCAGTATTTGAAGCAACACACAGACTGTTCAACAACACACTTGGACATGTAAAATATGCTTATTTAGAGAACAGCAGTACCACATAATGTGACATGTGCTCACAATGAAAATTCTATAATGGTAATTTGGGATGCACATTTTACCTTCCATGTCAACTGTCAGTTGCTGTGGTGAGTGAGTTGGTGTTAAAGTTGGAGAAGTATAGGGAATTTTTGAAATGCTAGTCAGTCATGGGAAATCTAAAGTGCTGCGGTGAAGGTATGTTGACAATGATATTTTCAAGACTGTATGTTCAAAGGGATCAAATAACATTTACTAAATACATTTTACTATTGATTTTTTTAATTTCCCACACTGAATCTTCTCTGCTGAGATTTAAATATTTTGTGATTTTGTTTTATCACTCAATTTATATATTTGCTTGTTCTATTGACCTGGTTACCAAAACTATTTTTCTAAATTTAGTAAAATGGACATTTCCTAATGCCAGCATCATGTGTACTCTTGAAGCAAATAAACAAAAAGGGGGACAACATCCACCTTGCTTTCATGAGATCAAGAAATAAAGTGAAAGAGAGTATATGGATGCTAAGAATGGCAATATATATCCCATGAAAGGGCAACTAGAGGCCAAACTCATCTGAATGTATATTAACATCTAAAAATAATATTAGAGAAGTCTAAATCAAGACATTAGTATGAAGAAAAAAGGACTGAGATTTTGGGGAAAGTTTCCAAGTGGTTGATGTCTACAAAATCCCTGGTGTGTGGGGGCTCCTGGGAAGGAGGCAGGAAGGACAGTGCCATGAGGTCAGTGGAGTGGACATCTGAGAACAGAAAAAATGAAGGCTTTGGTGCTCTTTATGGAGAATTCATTGGTGGAGGTTCACAGGTTGTAGTTATTGGTGGGTTCATGTGAGGCAGATAGTCTTTGGCTCCTGGCTCTGCAGGGTCTAGATAGAGGCATCTAAGGCCAGGAGCAAGAATATGCCTGATCAGAGTTGGTGTACCTGCAGCAATGATGTTTTCAGCCAGACCTTTGTCTGGCTGCTCAGATGATGGCTCAGAATATTAGTATGCAGACATGGGGTCAGGACAATTTACGACACTGAAACACCAAAGCATAAGCCAGGGTATCTGTTTCCCCAAATTAATTCACATTAACAGGCCACCCCAGGTGGGAAAAGCAGAAGGAAACTTCATTCTTGGCACAGCCATCAAATGGCAGTTGGTTTAGAATGTCCCAATTTCTAAAACAGTTTCTGAGCCCTACAGAGCTCTGATGATTTGGGTGGTCAACTGCTCATCAGGAAGTCTCATTGTGAGGCAGCAAGCAGTGAGACGATCCTGGGGGATGATGGCCACAAGTGTGGACTCTACTATTGACTTTCAGATAGACTTCATTTGCATGAAATCATCATATTTTTAGTCAGTAACTGTAATGAAGAGGCAGGAGCCTGGGTTATAACATGAACATTTTTCTTGGATCAGTCAATCCTCTGGGACTAAGGCCTCTTACCAAGGAGGCCTGAGAGGAGAAGCATTTAAGAAAGACTAAGAAGAGTTCTGGGTTCCTAGTTCCAGGGTGTCCACTAGAGGACTCAAGGGCTCAGGGATCTTTGGTCCCAGGTAAATAACTACAATCCTGTCCCACATCCACCACTCATGACTGTTGTGAATCTGGGCAAGTCACATAAAATCTCCAAATTTCAAACACCTAAACTCAAAATTGTGGCTGACAGACTCTGATCCACCCATATCTTCATGCTGATATGGAGTTACAGGGGGTCATAAATATTCTCCATGAGCTTTACAAACATCCATCTATGTAAAGAATGAAGAATAGACTTTCTTCACCCACTGCCCTGGAGGATGACATCTGTTTGACACCTCTCTGTTCAAACACTGTCAAAGATTGAGCTTATTCTTCCACACATTTAATGAAGCATCCTATTTAATGATATGGCTCTTTAGCACATACATGACACATCAGTCTTCTTAAGACTGTCTGTATGTGATCACTGTCAGCCTTATAACATTACGTGGATCAGATGAACACTTTTGCATCTTCCAACAAGCAATTGAGGCACAGAGGGGTTTATTTAACTCTCACAGGTAGGTAACATTCAGGTAGGATTTCAACATAAGCCACATGACCAACCACAGCCTCTGCTTGTGGTCACTGTTCTCACTACCGTTCTGTGATTTCACCTTAGTAAATGTGTTTACACACACAACATTTTGTGGGCTTTTAAACTTCATCACATTGCAGTGTCATCCTAAAGCCCAATCTGACTCAGGGGCTTTGCTATCCTAATGGTGAAAAATGAGTTCAACACTGTGAATTCTAATAACATTCAAATCCCTCTCTCTAAAATTTATTGAAACATAGAGTGTGTTATTTTCAACTCTGGTCACAGACTGCAAAAAAGTACACCAGAACTTTTTTTTCCCTAATATTCAATTGTAACATTCTCTCCCCTGCTCTGGTAACTAATATTCTACTCTTGGGTTTTATAAGATCAATTTTTCACTTCCAATAAACAGCTCTCAATATTATGCAGCATTTGTCCTTCTGTGCCTGACCTATTTCAGTCAACTAATGATCATTCTTGTTGTTTAAAATGAAAGAATTCTCATCAGGGAAAAAGAAAAAAAAACTACAACAAATATCTAAGTTCATGGGCATGCTATTATTGTATTATGAATACTTAAATTAAAAGGCTCAAATTGTACTCCCAGATATTTACAATTATCTCTTGTCAATTAAAGTTTCTTGAACTGTTATTTGAATTATTATTGATAACTCTGTTTTCTTGCTAGCACAGTCAACAACTGTTTTATCACATTTTCCAGGTTCTTGCCTCCCATGTAAGCATTGTAAGAAGTCAAAACATCCAGAAGACTTCTGCAGGCCTTGGGCCAAATGAGTCCACCTGTTGCCAACAAACAGTGTTTACCCCAAAGAAAAGTCAGACAAAGTGCTGTGGAAATCCAGTCATTGTGTCCATTTTTCAATAATTATTCTAATATATTCAGAGTTCCAATTCTTCTTTTGTTTGGTGTGTACAAGTTTATATGCTTTGAGCCATTCAGCAGTGCTATAGCTCCAGAAGTGAAGATCTAGTTACCATTGAATTTTGGGCACTTCATCCATTCAACTGTTGATGGACATCTGGGTTGATCTTACAATGTATTTACTATGAATTTACCTGCTGAAAACATGTAAGTGATTGTATCACCATAGTATTCTGATTTGTAGTTCTTTTGAAAAAGTAGAGAGGAATGTAATAGCTGAGTCATATGGGTTTCACTGGTGGGTTTTTCAGGAATTTCCATATTGCTTTCCAGAGTTGTCATAATAATTTGCAGTCCCACCAACAATGGATCAGTGTACCATTATCTCCCATTAACATATATGTTGGTGCCCTTGTCAGGTATCAGGTGGCACTAAGTATCAAGTGGGTTGTCTCTATGTGGTATATTCTATTCTACTGATATTCATATCTATTTTGAGGCCAATACAATACAGTTTTTGCTACTCATTTCTGTAGTAAAATTTGAGATTGAGTATTGTGATGGCTTCTACAACACTTTTTCTTGCTCAGAATTTCTTTGTCAAATTATTATTACTATTATCCCAAATAAATTTCAGGGCTGGTTTTTCAATACTGTAAGAAACATCATTTGTATTTTGAAGGGAATTGTATTGAATGCATTCAATCTGAATTTTGCTGTTGGTAGCATGGCCATTTTGACAATATTAATTCTGCCTATCCAAGAACATGGAAAGTAGGTCTCTGCATCTTCTGAGTTCTTAGATTTCTTTTTCAGTGTTCTACGGTTTTCATTCTCGAGTTATTTCACCACCTTGGTTAGATTAATCCCCAGGTGTTTTTTCAGACTATTGTGAAAGTGATGGTTTTATTGAATTCTTTTTTCAGCTGAATCACTGTATAATAATGCTATAGATTTATGAGTGTTGATCTTTTATCCTACTACGTTGCTAAATTTATCAGGTCTAGAATTTTTTTGGTGACAATTTTTGAGTCTTCTAAATATAAAATCTTATCACCAAGTAAAAGGGAGAATTTGGCTTCTTATTTTTCTATTTGTATCCTTTTAAATTTCTACTTTTGCCTGATTGTTCTGACTTTACTTTTGAAAACTGTATTAAATAGAAGTGGTAAAAGTCAACATTCATGTCTTGCTCCTGAAATTTGAGGAAAACCTTTAATTTTTATCAGTTTAGTGTGATGTTAGCTTCACATTTCTCATATATAGCTTTTATAATATTGAGGTTAGGCTCCTTCTCTGCCATGTTTCTGCATTATTTTTGAAATTATTGTTTTATCTATTGCATCAAGACCTTTTTCTGCATGTATAAGATGACTTTATGAATCTTGTTCTTAATTCCAACTGTATGGTATGTTAGCTTCTTTTTTAACTGCTTAGATCAAAGGCCCTGAAAAGAAAAATTAGAGAAAAAAACATTTATTAGGGTGCTCATGGTTTCCAAGGTGTCAGTCCCTTAACAGCATGTGCCTTTTTGTAGGAACTTGAGGTGAGGTAGAACATCATGGTGGAATAGTGTGGTAGATGAAAGTGGCTCAGAAAATGTTCAGAAAGCAGAAAGAGATACTCCACTCTCTAGAGACAAAATATAAAATCATAATTCATGCCCACAATGACCCACCTCCTTAAGCCATACCCTATCTGCCTCAGTTAATCCCTTTCTGGGGATTAATTCAATGACTGGGTTAAGGCTCTCAGAACCCAAACATTTCGCTTCACACCATTCTTGCATTGTCTCATACAAGATCTTTTGAGGAACTCTCATATGTGAACCATAACAAGTAATGATTACTTTTATCAATTTGCAGAGATTGAACAAAATTTGTACCCCTATGATGAAGCCCACTTGATTGTGGTGAATGATCTACTTAAATAAGGTTTTCAATGCAGTTTACTAATGTTTTATTAAAGATTTTTACATCTATGTTCAACAGGTATATTGCTGTGTGGTATTTATTCCTAGATGCATCTTTTAGAGTTTTGATATGAGGGTTATACTGGCTTCCTAAACTTAAATAGGAGTGTTTTTTCTCATTCAATTTTATAGAATAATTTGAGAAAGACTGGTGTTCCTTGTTTTGTAAAAGTCTGGTAAAACTTAGCTGGAAATCCATCCATGTCTTGGCTTTTCTTTGTTGGAAGGCTTTTCATTGCTGTTTCAATGTCATTACTTGATAGATATTGGTCTATCAAGGTGGTCTCTATCTTCCTGGTTCAATATATGCTGGTCATGTGTGTTCCAAGATTTGTTAATGTCTTCTAGATTTTCCAGCTTATTGGTATATAAATTATCAAAATAATTTCCACTGATCCTTTGGTTTTCAAAAGTGTAAGTGGTGATAAGTCATTTTTTCATTTTTAATTATGTTGATTGATATCGTCCCTCTCATTCTTTTCTTAGTTTGGTTAATGGTTTATCAAATTCATTGATGTTTTAGAACAACCAACTCTTTATTGCACTGATCCTGTGTAGTATCATTCTTAATACATTAATTTTGACATTCATTATCCCATGTTTACTAAGCCATCAACTGCATTAATAATCAGAAAAACATGGATAAGGTAGAAATTAGAAAAATCATATAATTCTACACTTTATTCAAATTGTAGTTCCTGTGTAAAGAGAAAATAGGGTGGAGAAGATGTCAGAGAATTTTATCTACCACTAAAAGTTATCATAAAGTTATACTGTTAGCAGAAAAAAAGAGAAAAAGAGAAACAAGACATAGAAAAATGAAAAGCAATATAAAACAAACCTGAAAAATACTAATACAAAATTCTAACCCTTTAAAGATAGACAAAGGAAAAACTACACTTTTTAAAGTGAAACAAATGAGCAAATGTAAACAAATAAGTATATATGTACATGAATCATTCAGTAAATACACACATACAAAAACAAAACAAAACAAAACAAAAATTCCACACAATTGCAGGAACTAAAGAAGAAGTGATTCTTAATGAAAAATTAAGGAATTATTTTAAGAGAGGTGGTCAAAATATTCAATGAGAATATGTGTTCCCTGTCTGTGCTCAGCTGCCTTTCTTTCCTTTTCATCTTGAGTTATGTAGGAGTAAGGGCCAACAGTTGTTAAAACTTTCTTTTTGTGTTGCTCAACAAGTTTGTCAGTTGGAGTTCAGATATTCTCAGTTTCACTTCTTAGCAGAGTATGAGGTAGGATGGGCTGGGAGGTACAGTGTGCTGGAGTTTTGCCTACACAGACCAATTTGGTGCGGTCCTAGGGAGGCTCACTGCAGAAGACTTTGAGGAGTTCCTATAGGTGGAGTTCCATAGGTGGGGCTTAAGTCCAATCAGGCCCCAGTTTGTATTGATTGCTATGAAGAGATTATATCAGTGCACTCTTAGGGTCCAGCATTTGCAAATCTCTTCTGGGAGAAAATGTATTTCACAAATCTCCCCTCAGATTCCTCTTGTGGGGTAGGGGAGCTAATTCTTCACTTTCTCTGTGGAATAGCCTTTCCATGTTCCCTGGACTGATTATCTGGGCATGTATTCACATAGCCCATTTTTACAAAGGCTCTTTCAATTTCTCAACCCACTTCAGCTGATCCCAGGAAGCACCAGACTCAAAGTGGGAAGGGACCAGAGCATTCCTCCACATATCTAACTTGAGTTTGCCCAGTTAGAATGCTTTTTATGCCTTTTGCTCTAGCTCAGCTAGGCAAAGCCTTGGTCCAGTGGCAGGTGTCTGTCAGGACCATGAATGCATACCTGCTCAGATCTCCCAGTTCCTGCAGTGTCTACATAAGCTTGATTGTGTCAAGGTGGCTCCTGCCTTGCTCTCTGGGGACAGTGGGAATCATGGAGCACCCTTCTTACACCAGTGGGAATCACGGAACACCCTTTTACACCAGTGTACAATGCAATGAAGCCTCTTCATTGGCCAAGTGAAGGCTGCCTCTCTGATCTTAGGATTTTCACACTAAATCTATTTTGTTTCTGTGCATTTTCCCTCCCTCTGTGATCTAGCAGTAGCACTATTGCTGCCACTTCTGCTGTTACTGCCACCACCAGCTTGGATCCAATGTACTCTGTTTTTTTTTTTTTTTGTTGTTGTTGTTTGTTTAATGTACCCAAGTTTCTGATTCTCTAAAACTCCCTGACTGTCCAGTATTGAGTGTTTGTGAAATCTCTCTTTCATCCACCAAAGTGAAGCAGTATTCTGCTGTTTGCATCACAGGTTGTGGAGGTAGAATAAAGAAAGGCTGTCTCTAACTTGAATTTTGCTTCTGTCTTCCAATGTATTATTTCTCTTACTTAACTTTCTGACTTTCCAGGAGTATTTGATTTCTTTTTATGGTTCACTATAAAGTTTTGGTGAGTTCCTTTAGTTTGCCACCTTACTGAGAAGCAGTCTTATTGCCTTGTAAGTCTGGTACTGAGAAACTGCCAGGTGTGCATCCTTCCTCCAATCTGCCAACTTCTCTTCTCATGACAGCAAATTTTGCACAATTTCTCTTCTTTTCAAGATGCCAAGATATGTTTTAGGGCCAAAATATACTCTTGTCTTGATTAATACCTCATGTGACCTTGAAAACAAATTTGATTCGCTCATTGTTGCATGATGTATTTGTACAAATGTTAATTAGATCTATGTGATTGATAGTGTTTTGATAGTTTCCTAGGGTTGCCAAGTCCAAGTACCAGCTTTTTTGAGTTGAAGTAATGCAAATGGACTGTCTCTGAACTCTATACCCTAGAAATCCCATACTGACCTGTAAGCAGGACCATGTACTTTCTGAAAACTTTAGGAAAGAATTTTTTTCCCATTCTTAATTTGTAGTGGTTTGGTGGCCATCCTTGTATTGCTTGGTTTTCAACTGCAGCACTTCACTCTCTGTTTCCAATATCACATATCATTTGCCCCTCAGGAATATGCCCCCTCTTCTTATAACAGATGTCATAATTGGAGAATGGGTCTACCCTACTCCAAAAGGATATCTTTAACTAATAAGATTACAATGACTCTCTTTTTTCAAACCCAGTAAAATTTTGAAGTACTGGTGTTAGGACTTAAACATGTATTTGGATGGAAGTAATTTGACCTCTAACAGAGATAATCCTTTCAATAGTATATTTTTTTTCTTTTCTTCCTGGAGGATCTGTCAAGTGATTTTAAAAAATGCTGAAATCTTCTACTGTAACAGTGGAATATTTCCTTTCTCATTGTGATTCCTTCCATTTATTCTATGTTTTTAACTTTTTTTCCTGCTATGCTCCTTCTCCTTCCATTCAGAAACAATCATGTTCCAGGAGCAACTGAGCCTGTGTGTGTTAAACAACCATCTCCACAGACCCATGTACACAGCAAGGAAGCTCCCTAAGTAATTCTTCAGCAAACCAATGTACTGACAGTTACACTATATTCTGCTAGATTGTAATCATGGAGGTGGCATCAATTGACTTAGGAAAAGAAAAAGCACAATCTATTGCTGAGGTAATTGACTCTGCTTTGTCTATGATATAAGGTTGTTTTCTTTCTTTTAATTCAAATTTAGGCATGGAAATATGACAATATTCATTACAGATGACTTATACAATTGCTTTGGGGTGGAATTACAACTAAACTTCTATTACCACTAATTCAAGATGATACTAATGTAGGACAGCAACCAATGTCAAATGATTGTAATGAGCATTTTCCTCAGTGGCACTTTTTCTTGGTAGAAAATGTATTTTGTGCATGCCATCAAATTGTACCTGAGAAATCCTTTGAGAAAAGCTCATGTCTTTTCACAAGTGCCATCTCTGTCTTACTTTGTGACCTTTGCCTCAAGTGCTATTTCCCATCAAGTTATCTAATGTCACCACAACAAACAGCAGACTTGTGCAAACAAGACTCAGCATGATCTCATGCTCACACCGTCTTCCTTTCTATAATTACAGATGGACTCTGCAGAAAATGACATGCCTAACATGCTGAAGAAAAACCTCTGTAGTGAGATAGAAGTAGGATGAAAGCCTGACCTATGTAAAAAGTTATCTTAGATTCAGATTTCTTTTGGAAATGAGGATTGGGATGTGGTGACAAAGTGATATTCCAGTGAATAATTATGATGATCTACCATGATCCTGAAGCAACTGTCTTTTTGGTGGTGTGCATTTGTGTGCATGAGGGTGGGGGCGTATCTCTGAGAGTGTCCATATTAATTAATTGTGTGTTGTGAGGATGTGGGAACTTCCTCAGACATTCGGTTCTAACATGCACAGAAAAAGTATCAATTTCAAAAAATAAAAATACACACTAATGTATTACTTGCTGATTCAATTCCTTCACGTTTCATGACACCCAGATCTAAAGTTCAGGTAGAACTATGCCCACTCTGTAGATAGAGATGATGCTGAGCCAAAAGATCCAGATTCTTGAC